GAGCCACTCCTTTGTTGCCTTGGCCGTGTGTTTTGGGTCATTGTCATGCTGGAATACCCATCCACGACCCATTTTTGATGCCCTGGCTGAGGGAAGGAGGTTCTCACCCAAGATTTGACGGTACATGGCCCCATCCATCGTCCCTTTGATGCGGTGAAGTTGTCCTGTCCCCTTAGCAGAAAAATACCCCCAAAGCATAATGTTTCCACCTCCATGTTTGACGGTGGGGATGGTGTTCTTAGGGTCATAGGCAGCATTTCTCCTCCTCCGAACACGGCGAGTTGAGTTGATGCCAAAGAGCTCCATTATGGTCTCAATTAACCACAACACTTTCACCCAGTTGTCCTCTGAATCATTCAAATGTTCATTGGAAAACTTCAGACGGGCATGTATATGTGCTTTCTTGAGCATGGGGACCTTGTGGGCACTGCAGGATTTCAGTCCTTCATGGCGTAGTGTGTTACAAATTGTTTTCTTGGTGACTATGGTCCCAGCTGCCTTGAGATCATTGACAAGATCCTCCCGTGTAGTTCTGGGCTGATTCTTCACCGTTCTCATGATCATTGCAACTCCACGAGGTGAGATCTTGCATGGAGCCCCAGACCGAGGGAGATTGACAGTTCTTTTGTGTTTCTTCCATTTGCGAATAATCGCACCAACTGTTGTCACCTTCTCACCAAGCTGCTTGGCAATGGTCTTGTAGCCCATTTCAGCCTTGTGTAGGTCTACAATCTTGTCCCTGACATCCTTGGAGAGCTCTTTGGTCTTGGCCATGGTGGAGAGTTTGGAATTTGATTGATTGATTGCTTCTGTGGACAGGTGCCTTTTATACAGGTAACAAGCTGAGATTATGGGCACTCCCTTTAAGAGTGTGCTCCTAATCTCAGCTCGTTACCTGTATAAAAGACATCTGGGAGCTAGAAATCTTTCTGATTGAGAGGGGGTCAAATACGTATTTCCCTCATTAAAATGCAAATCAATTTATAACATTTTTGACGTGCTTTTTCTGGATTTTGTTGTTGTTATTCTGTCTCTCACTGTTCAAATAAACCTACCATTAAAATTATAGACTGATCATTTCTTTGTCAGTGGGAAAACGTACAAAATCAGCAGGGGATCAAATACTTTTTTCCCTCACTGTACGTGCGCACATACATCGCTAGAAGGGTTGACGGCCGATGGATGAGGCTGACAATGGAATGGCAGCCAAAGGAGTGAGTGCACCTCCGAGGACATCCACCACAGAGATACAGCAACGATATCAGCTCATGCACAGAAGATAGAAGTCTCATCCAGCAGTGGATAGATTATGGCTGGTGATGATGATTATTGGAATATGACTGAATAACATGTACAACATCACACAGGAAAGGAAGTCATACTCTGGTTCTTTCGGTAAAGTCACGTAGATAGAAGATTGATAGATTACGACGTTTCGATCGCAACACAAGCAACCGTCATCAGGTGAGACAAACACAGCAGGAGAACTGCAAGTGATGTGTTGTGATCGAAACGTCGTCGTTTTTTTGTTATTTTCTTTGAACCTATCTTCGTGACTTTACCGAAAGACCCAAAGAATTCATGCAGTCACGACAGCTTTAAGTCAAGATTTACTTTTGCAATAGGTTTGGAGGTTTGTTTAACACGTAGGCTTTCGCGACCAGTATTATTCATAATAAAGGTTTTTGGGTGAGATCCTGTAAGTATAAATGCGTAGCAACCCTCCACCACCCGACGCTGCCAATCAGTAAAAAATGTGTCACGTTAGCAAAACGGCAATTAGTCACTTCTTCAGCACCACCGGTGTGTTTGAAGAGTGAATCCACAACATTTAGAATTTGAGTACGACGTTTCGCTGGTAATTACATCCAGCATCTTCGGGAAATTTGCCAGAATAGTGAAGCAAACCACCTGCTTTCGGTCTTAAATAGTGCAGGACGACGTCATCATTGAACCCCATCAGGTTTCGAGATGAGAGGCGGAGGTGGGGGGGGTATTGTAATGATATAATAGATTAGTATTCAGTTAATTAGTGACACTTCAACGTTATCACGTTATCACGTTGAAGTGTTATGCAAAACGAATTATTACTGGCCAAGACTAATTAGAGAATCCATCGAAATTGAGAAAAATACAAATAATTGCCTGGAAGCGTATTAAGTAATACACAATACATATTACAATGCCTTATAGAGGAATCACTAGTGGACTGATTACTAATATATTGTATAATTCCAATCACAATGTTTCTAAATGTTGAGGGGGAAAAGCCAGAGGACCCGGAGAAAAATCAACGCGACCACGGGGAGAACACAGAAACTCCAAATATACAGCAAGCGTCAGGGTTGGGATCGAACAACAGGCGAGGTCGTGAATATCTCGCTACCGTGGTGCCTCCATCCATCGTGGCGCCTGGGTGGGTGACTGCAATCCGTACACCGGTTGTAAGAAGGTCCATGTGGATACGTGGTCGGCATCAGAGATCAGTGCAGCAAAATCCATTGCTGCACTGCACTTCTGCCCTTACACCCTCGACTGACAAGCACGGGGAAGTATGGTCAAAGAACCCCCACAATCCGCACGGCGTGGGGAGGCCCTCATCCAGCTGGAGGGCCCTAAATTGATTGACAAAACAGCTCTAGGGGTACAATGTATATTTACGTATCGTACAATTAGCGTGCCGGTAAATGTACTATGTGCAGTACCAGCTAACGATCTATGAAAGGTAGGGGCCACTTTAAGGAATGTCCACTTTTTCAAATGAATTGCAAAAGGGTCTTGACTCTACGTCTCCAAATCTTGGTCAAGAAATGTTTTTTTTTTGTTGAAATAGGAACTGCCCTCGCCGCATAGCAGTCAGCAGGAAAACCTGGCTGAACTCCCATGGGAGGTTTGGATTTCAAAAGTGTGTTGTCCATACAATACATTTGTGACCCGGTCTACGCTGAAGGGCACCCCACTGTATTTCATGCTCTTATTGCAGACTCCTTTAACCACGCTCATTCATAACTCATTCAATTTGCCCCGCTGTTGCAAGCTTACTAAGATTCATTATTACCGGTATCTTAACCATTCACATCTATCATCGTCATCAGTCGACATCTCTTTTTGGGCAGAAAATACCCAACTGTGCGTATAACGCGCAGCGTGTGCTAAATTAATTGAAACTCAATTAGTGTGCGACGAAAAGATTAAAATACAGAAAGGTGATTAAATTCATTCTCTAATAAGTGAATGTGGACCTAAGTAAACGTCAGACCATATGGTGCACCATATGGTCACTAGAGGGCTTACGTGAAAAGGGATTGGGCAGACACATTCTACGCCTGTGAAGGATAAACCACAGCTTAGACCATTGCAGTTTAAAAAACAAGGTTAATGTTGCATGACCAGCATTATTAACAGCAACCAAACAAGGACATGCTGACAAATTGCTCTACATTACTTAATACACGCAAATCTTAATTGTAATTAGAATTGCAATAAGTAAACATTCATATTATATCTATCAAAAGTATGAAACGAATGAACCCATACATTTATCGGGGGTGCGGAGTAGTGGTGCAATGGCTAACATACTTGGCTATGAACTCTTGAGACCCGAGTTTGATTCCCAGCCATGGGTAACATGAGTGGCGAGTAGTATCTGAACGGGTTCTGGCCCTCCTGTGACCAATCCGCCACTGAGCAGTTTGGTGAAGTATTGTTACAACAACCCCCACAGCTGCCACAGTAGAGGGGAAGGACTTTTTGTCCAGCAGTGGATTTAAACGCGACTGTTGAATTGTTATATTTTTTTTATGTATTCGTGTAACGTGGGCTTATTTTGTATACTTGCTTCGTTCTGTTTAAAAAAAAATATATTTTATCTTGAGAGAACAGAGTCAGCCGTCAGGAGAAGGGGACAAAGGCGGAATACTTTTTTTTATTCTATGAGGCACATTTGCATCTTCAGCCATGGCTGAGTGAGTTCATTCATTCATTTTATGGCAAACAGTTCTTGAGTTGCAGCCAATGAGCTCTCGGGATGCGAGACAGAAGTGTTTGGACCCAGACGTAAACAGTTTCACAACAGGTACAATCAGCTGTACTTGAAGGTACACGATCTGTATTTACGCGATTGTGTGTATGCACACGCTATGGTCAACGACCACATCATTGGATTAAATGCAAAAAAAACCAGATGTCCACTGCAAAGTTTTGCTGTGTTTGACATACATTAATTAAGATTAATTAAGCTCGCGCATATTTTAAGGAAAAAACAAAAACACGTTGAACTAATAGAAAAATGTGAAAGTACAAATAGGGGCACTAACAATGCATAAAAATAACGATTCTCAACAGCCCGTAATGAAATCATGAAATGTGCAAAATTTTGGTGGTTCAGATGTTTGTACATTTTTTTTACTGACGTTTTTTGCATTCAGACCTCCGGTAACTTTTATTCTACAGCAACGATACATATCCACGGAGACACGTGGGAGACACAAGCACACGCCACACACACGCACACACCGCTCTTATCGTCGTGAATTTTGCCACGATAAGGATGATACACACCTGCCCAGCCAGGTTAATAGTTATCAGCTCCTATTGTGGGAGGAGTCAAACTCAACATATATTGTGGGGCGGAGTCTGCACCACTTGTGGGTGGAGCTACATTTCTGATGGGAGGGAGTTAAAAAACCCTCGTGAGTGGAGTCACAACCATCTCGTATGGGCGTGGCAATGGGGGGGGGGGGGGGTATCAGTGGGCAGGGTCAAAAAACCCACCCATGTGGTGGGAACCCTCTTCTCACTGGGATAGGTGGGGGGGGGGTCAACAGCGGTGGTGAGTTGGAGGGAGGGAGGGGGTCATAATTGTGGTGGGCGGGGTCAGAATCGTTGTAGGCGTGGTCAAGGTGGCGGTGGGCGGGGTTAGATGCGTTGCAGGCGGGGTTAGGTCATTATGGGCGGGGTTAGAGTCATTGTGGGCGGGGTCACGGTGGCGGTGGGCGGGGCGTTGCTCACTCGGCCGTGCCGGCTCCGCTGACTTGCGCGTTGTTCAGTGGGGCTCTGTATATGCGGACTTTCCTTCGTCTCATCACAGCCCCCGGGAGCTGTATACTTTCAATGACTTTCAACACACAACAACAATCTCGACGAAAATAACACAACAACAAAAAAGACACTGCAGTGGGATAAGCGCATCTTCTACGCGCTTGGACAACTTTCCAGCAAAGTTTGGGAAACTTTGCTTAGTTTGTCACTTCCATTTAACTTGCTGCTTGCAAGACTACTTGACTTATTATAAGTGCAAGGCAACAATAGCGGCAGGGGGTGTTTCTTTTCTTCTTCTTCTTCTTTCTGGATTTGATCCGCGCACCAGCCGGGAGTTGCTCTTGAAAACTAGCGAGGCTGCGATGACGGGCTGCGGTGATGCCAACCCTGGCACGCCAGTGCCCTCTTAATGTCCTCCACGGGACTCTCCGGAGGGATACGCTGCTCTGCCTCCATCCTCCGTCATTCCGCTCCGACGTCGGCGATGCCGTCCACGCCAATCCTCGGTGGGAGGAAACTTCTGCGCTCCCCTGGACCTTCGGGCGCTGGGACGATGTCGAAAATTCGTCCGGTTCGGCGAGGTGGACCGGCTCGCCCCCGATTCCTGACCCCCTTCGCCTTGGCGCTGCTGAGCGCGACGCTCGGGGTCGGCGGCGCCGGCCAGGGTCGCCAGGTGTTCCGAGTCCTGGAGGAGCACCCGCCGGGCACGTACGTGGGCACCGTCGCGACGAGGGCCCGCTTCACCTACCGCTTCAGCGAGCCGCAGGCGCTCTTCTTCATCAACGCCAGCACGGGCGTCATCAGCACGGCCGCGACGATCGACAGGGAGGCGCTGCCCAGCGACGTCTTCGACCTGGTGGTGCTCTCCAGCCAGCCCACCTACCCTACTGAGGTGCGCGTCGTGGTGGGCGACGTGAACGACAACGCGCCCTCCTTCCCCGAGCCCGGCGTGATGGAGGTGGCCTTCAAAGAGGATGCTGCGGTCGGGCGCCAGGTGCTCCTCGACACGGCCGTGGACCGCGACGTGGGTCCCAATGGAGTCAACCACCATGCCTACAAGATCGTGTCTGGCAACGAGGAGGGCAGGTTAGTGCCACCACGTCCAGTGACAAAACGCACCTCTGTTTAGCACGGTTGGCTAGGTGCGGTGCGAAAAAAGTTCAACATACAGAGGGAAATTGTGCTCTAAACTGTGTTTCTATGGCTTTGTTATGTTGAACAGTTGCCCCATCGTTCAAATGGAGTGCTCTTGCCAATAACGTCTGGTAACCCAGCAGCATTTGTTCAACAAGCCAAACTCTGCTGATGAGACCCAGAACCTGGTCCAGAGTTTGCTCACTTAATTGTATATCTGCTGGATAATAATTGTCTTGGAAGCTATTTGGCCGATGGATTAAATACATTTTAGGACGTATTTGTAGAGGCACGGAACGGGGTTATGATTATATTAGCTTTTACTCCAGAATATGGGCAGTCACGTGCCCAGTACCTTTATGACTGCAGTTTATCAGTGCGAGCAGGTTTTGGGGACGAAAAATAATTGGAGGGACTTGTAACCCACCCTGTACGTTATGAGAAAATAAATCCCTCTATATTTTTCCAAATTTTGCCTTATCGCTGTGAGCAGACCCACCAAAAAAAAAAACTAAAATGAACCGCTCGCCCAAAACGCTGCCCAGCAACACAGTCTCCTTTATCACTTTTAGTGGACGGTCTTTCCAAGTCTATGGAAATTTTTGCTTTTCCCCGCGAGGCGTTAAAAACTCTCGGTCGGTTTGGTGCATGCAGCATGCCGTCTGGAGAAGTTCCGTGAGCGCTGGGAATGTTGCGCTGTTGAGAAATAAACCTAAATGCACGAACAGTACCGGGCCTGGTGGAACAATGTGCCAAGCGGTGATTCATTTCCCAGAGGCGCTCTGGTTTTTCTGCAGGGAAATAACTTAACACGTGTCAGTCAAGTGGACGTTCCGAACAATGCGAGATAGTATTTTTTTGCGGCAGGAGATTGTTGTGTTAATTTGCAAATGCGACCAAACATAACTGGCACTGAATAGCACATTTTATGATATGCCCTCCGTAATTATAGTCCTATAGCTCTTTACTGAAAAAAAAAACACAAGAACGCAGTCACCTCTCATTTTGTAAAAAAAATATATGACTGAAAATAAAAAAAAACAGAAACATTTCACTAAATGAAACAACAAAGATAGCAAAACATATTTAAATCAGAATAAACATGTTTTAAGTTACTTTTTAATTTTAAACATAAATAATAAGCTTGCATGATTTTAATTCTGGTGAAATTTTTTGTAATAATTAAAAAAAAATTCTCAGCACCTCACACAGCCATAATCAACTGCAGACTCGTGCGCACCCAGCCAGCATAGCAAACAAGCCAAGAGTTTGCAACCATTTTTCCAGCTGTTTAGAAAAACCTCCAAAACGCCTCCTGGTATCGAAAAGTCAAACGACAACACCCACAACCGAATGTTAAAAAAGAGTGCGACAAAAACTCCGATGCCTCCGATTAGTACGGTTGGCTACATACGGTGCGAAAGAAGTTGAACACACACACACACGTTTCTCTGAGATCGAAAATGCCGCTGCACGTCCTCCGAACGCGGCATTGGCGTGTGCGTGCGCGCGCAGGTTCCGCCTGGTGGTCACCGTGAATCCGAGCGGCGAGCGGGCCTTCCTGCACCTGGCCACAACGGGCCCCCTGGACCGGGAGGCAAATCCCTCGTACGCACTGGCCGTGCAGGCCGAGGATGGTGGCAGCCCGAGGCGCTACGGCCGCCTCCAGGTCAACGTGACGGTGCAGGACGCCAACGACAACCCGCCGGCCTTCGAGAAGCCGGCGTACCGCGCCAGCGTCGCTGAGGACTCGCCCGTCGGCGCCGCGCTGCTCGCCGTCTCGGCCGCCGACCGCGACGCGGGAGCCAACGGCGAGGTGACCTACTCCATCGAGGACGAGGACCGCTCGCCGTTTCGCGTGCACCCCAAGACGGGCATGGTGAGTGTCGTGAGCTAGTCGTGGTGCGGGGGGGAGGGTGCGTCGGTGGGGGGGGGGGGGGTGACAGGAGGTGGGGGGGTCTTGGGATGTGATGTCCGTTGTCACCTTTTTATGCGTGATTGACAAAGGCAGATCGTATCATGATTTATTCTGCTCACCTTTGAATATTTGTTAGTTTTTTACGTTGACTTCCTGCCCCTATGAGTTTGTGTATGCCCTCCCCCCTCCCTTAAGCAGGGTCACGTGACAGGGTAGGCAAATGGTCCGATGACTGACAAAGCCATATACGAATTCACCCACTGGCAAAAGTGCAGCACTTGAATTAATTGACGCCATGATGGTCAAGAGCGGCCAGTGAAACAGTCGTCCATAAGGAAGACTTGAATACCACAAGTCTTCTCCTGCATCACCATTCAGTGAAAGCATGCGATTGGGATTAGGGGTTGATGTTTAGGAATGTGGTTAGTGTTAGCGAGGCTTCATGGGATCTTCAAATTCAAGTGCTGCCCTTGTGCCAAAGGCACTTGAAGGACCTAATTCGTGTGTTGGCTGAGAGGAAATATCTGGCAGAAAAAAAACAAATCAGACAAGTTGCTGCAATCTGCAAAAATGTGGCTGTTTTCTGCCCAAAAAAGTTGGCTGATTTTTCCACGCATGAGTCACGCCCTCCGAAACGTGACGTGCCGCCACATCCTCCCTCTCGCAGGTGAGCACCCGCCAGCCGCTAGACTTCGAGGCACGCCGGCAGTACACGCTGAGCCTGCGCGCTGCCGACGGGGGTAACCCACCGCTGAGCGGGCGCGCCACGGCCGTCATCCAACTCCTGGACGTCAACGACAACGACCCGGCGATTCGCTTCGTGTACCTTCCGCCCGCGGCCCGCTCGGCCTCGGTGGACGAGAGCGCGGCGCCGGGCACCGTGGCCGCGCTGGTGACGGTGACGGACGCCGACTCGCCCACGGCAAACGGGGAGCTCAGCGTGTCCATCGTCGGAGGCAACGAGCGTGGGCATTTCGTGCTGCACGCGCCCGGCGTGCCCGGACTCAGGGTGCTCAAAGGTGCGTTCTCTTCCGTTTCCACTGCTCGCCCAGAGGATGCGTTCGCACGCGAGACTTGAGATCCAGCGGTCGTCGGTTCCATTCAGTATTCCAGAGCGGTGGCTGCGGCAGTCGGAGTCAGAATCTTTATTTATACTTGAGGAATCCGATGAGCTATGAAGCTCTTTTATTTTTTTTACAGATGTCCAGTAGGGGTGCGGGTCCGAAAGTTACAACAACAAACAAATACGAAAATATGATGTGAGTGCAAAGTATAGCAAAGGTAAGGAAATCACTAGGAAAGAAAAATCTACGTTCATTTTTCCAGGTGAAGCCCCACTGAGCGATCAGTTTCTTTATCAGAAGCAACCCGGCCACAAATGATAGCTCAACGAAGTGGCTCATCACGTGGAAATGTATCGTTTGGAAACAATGGTGTGAGTTGGCTAAATAACCCCCGCCCCTGTCCACCCAGCAGTTATAAATGGGCACAGCCACAGCAGGTCGGTAGGTCCCGCGTGGTCGGCTGAATTGCGGGTGCCCCCCCCCCACCTCTTCCACAGTGTCTGGCCAGTATCGAAGAGTAGGCCAAGTACCCTCCGGAGGGGGCTTTCTAAGAGCTCCCTCGAGTGGAGACCCTTCTGCCAGCGGTGGCGTGAGAGAGAGAAATTGTAGGGCTTGCATCCAATCACCATCGTGACGGTGGTCATGCTAGCGACTCGTACTTTTGACGTGTTGAAAAATATCGTGTGTTTGTTGCCATTTTCACTCTGTATTAAAACGGCATGGGGGATACGGTAGGTTGTGTGTTGGACACCCAAGGGCTGGAGTTTGAGAAACCCATTGATGTGAAGGTAAAGAGGTCAAATGTCGCATTAAGTAAGTAAATAAATATAGAATATGTGGCATATTGCTCGGAACTGATAGGGGTGCGCACACAGTCCGAATACGATCGTTCATTATCTGTCCCACGTGACGGATTATGCAGGGGCTTCAAATCTGCTTAGAGGGTGGAGAGGTCAGTCGAGCGCGACCACATAGGCGCGATTAGAGAGAGATGGATCATGCCAGGACGTCAATTGGCCACTCCATCAGCCTCGGAGAGCAACGACTTCGCTTTACTCTGCGAGCTCTCTTTGTTGTGTGCACATGGATTTTCTGCCAGTGCTCATAACGGTCCTTTAATAACACACATTCTGTTCTTTACATTTCAATGAATCCGTTTGCTCTCTTGATCCGCGCGTGCAGCACGATTGTCAGCTTGGCTCGGTGCAGAATAGCGTCTCAAAATTAAACCATCCCAAAGTTTGAAAAGTTGGTATTAATTCACCGGTAAGTTTTCACAACAATAACAAAAAGCCGTACTGGTGCTGGAGCCTCAGGAGCATATGTTTTACGTTCACAATTACATTTGAAACCTTTTCAAATCCCTAATTGACCCGAGGTGTTTTGCAATATAGACGCACGGTGTAGGGTTACGGGACGAACAGTATAGGACCCTCCTCCCATCCAAAACAATCGAAGACCGTTAAGGGTCAGCGGTCTTTGCCACTCCCCGTTTCTTTTTGCTTCCCTAAATTGATTTCACGTGGCAGGTAGCCAGAGCCAGCTAAGAATACTCACAACGATATGAGTGATGGATGTTACTGTACGCCGTTATTAATAATAATAATCATTAAAAGTCATATGTTCCACCACCCATTCGTGTGCTATGGGACAACCGCTAATTTTTGTTCCTAAATCATTGCATCGGAGCGGTTCACGGGAGTTCAATATTTAAATAACACGAACCGTTATTTTATACAAAAGAGCATCTTTGTTTTTTTTGGATAAAAAAGCAACACGGCAAATGCTAAATTCCAAGAACATATCCCCGTCTATGCAGTAAGTGAACTCAGATGTTGCAGACTTTTAAGGCATTACCAGTAAGAACGTCTGATTCTTACGATTCACAAAGGTCAGTGGAAAAGACTTAAGCCTAAAAAATAATGAAACAAAGACATCCTTATAAAACAAACGACTGCATAGAACCACGTGAGCGCGGCTAGCATAAAATACCACAAAAAAGGCAAACATTTGAAGCTAACGCTTTTTTTTTTTGCTCGCTTAAAGCATTCTTTAAGTCCTTATAGAATACACGCATCTGATATTGGACCCTTGACTCGGTGATGTTAATGGAGAGCTTTTGACATCTGTAAGCAAACATTGAGTTGACATGTCGGTTGACACTAACGCGAGTTTACGAATGCTCGTCTGGCCGCAAGTCTTGGTGGTGTGATTGCACAAGTGTGTGTGTGTGTCTCGCTTGGAGAGTTGTGATTAAGTACGTGTGTGGAACGAACATAGTTTTGTACACGGCTGCCAGTATCATTACACTTACATTGTTAAATTCACTTGTCTAAAGCTGTGCATTACTTGAGAGAAGACACGTAAAATGCAACGGTTCATCAAGTGTAATGTTTTTTTTTTAAGACGCTCAGGTTGCATTCATCAAATTGACTTTTAACGATCAAATAGGTTCGGTAAAGGTGCAGCCCTGCAAATTCCTCGCTCATGCCATGATTGGCAAAAAGGAACTCTAGACAGCCCCCTGTGGGGGGCATTTAACCTACTCTGCCATCCTGGACACGTGTCTTGGGAGAGGTTGGAGTACCCACACTTTACCCCACCATATGCTGCGACATGCCCATAAACCAACCGTGGTGAACCCATTTATAATGCTGGACGCACAGATGTTGGGATAATTTAAGAAACGTCCCCATTGTTTCAACTGCCACGCCCAAGGGGTTGAATGAAACCGGCGGACCTCTGAATTGCAAGTCCAGTGTGCCAACAATTACAACCATGGAATCAAACATGTTTTAGTTGTGCGATGTGTATGGTAGTGATGTGCTCATGTTGCATTACTTTCGAGCTCATAGAGACAAAAAAACTAGACAAATGAGACAGAAAAAATTACCAAGAATAATCATTGCATGATTCAAATCATGATCGTGAATCGTAAACGTTCTTTAGTTTTTTTGGAAAGATGAATTGTTACATCACTACCTGCTGCTGCTGCTGCTGCTAGGGGATATGCACAGTGAAGCAGCTTTCTCCAGGTGATGAACGCTCGCTGCTGAAGTTCTGCAGCTGTCTTGGAAATCTAGGACCGGCATGAAGGGCCCAAACAGGAGATAATATTTTTACATGTCCAGGAAATGGTTGCGCGAAATAAAACCAGGTAGAGTTGCCACATTTTTTTTTTGCCAAGGCTGCCGAAAGAAAATAAAAAAATATCTTCTTAAAACCTCTGCAGAATGTTGCACCCATGTGCAGCAGATAAGTGTTTGGCACTCGCATGATAAAGGGGGGAAGGAGGAGTTGGTGCCCATGTGTGCATCGCTCATCTGGGTGCTTGTACATCGCGGCTCCTATGCTTAGCGCTTATGCAGGCGATGGTGTTAAACCCATGCTCTCTTGTTTACGGGACGCTGCCGTGGTATAGCGGTTGGCACACTGACATCGAGAGGTCACCGGTTTTGACGTTCCAGCGTGACGGTGTCTTAAATCCCCCCCCCACCCCGCTTCTGGCCACCGAGGCAGTATAAATGAGTACACCGCAGTTCGTCATTCGGCAGGTCACGTGCGGTGTGGTAATGTGTGGCTACTCCCACTGCTTCCAAGAGGTCCGGACGGTGTTGAAGAGTAGGCCAAAATACCTACCAGAGGAGCCTCTACCGCTTCCTCTCGCGGAAGCCCTTTGCTGTCGATTACCTCTCATTCACACGGTGAACTCGCTGCCGTACATTCCATTGGCCATACAATTATGAAAATGGTAATAAAAAAAATGCTTCTCCAGGGATAGCCTAGTGTTAGATTCAGCATTCAGGCGAATTCGATGAACTCGCACGACGAGAATTACTGCACTTTCACGGCGGTTAACATGAATAATTTTGACATTTAAACGTATACAAAGTGTAACTTTTTCTTTTTCACCTAGAGAAAGCTCTGATTTTATGAGAGGCCGCGTGCGTTTTATACGTCACATTTTTCACGTGAAAAAAAAGAGACCACACCAACACACACACACGCGCGTTTCTCTCTGTCTCTCACATCACCAGTTAAAATCAGTAAGGCTTCTAAATAGCGGCGGTAACCTTACGGGAGGAGTGTGGGCCCACCCATGGTCTGGGGGATTTTGTGGGTGGGACGGCAGCAGAAGTGCGCTCTGCAGTCAGGCACGTGCATTAGCTCGGTATCAACTGTCCCATCTGCTTGGAATTGGGAGCAATATGCTGGTGGGGCAATGCCTTTTTTCAGTGGGTGTTATCCGCGCTCACCGCTTGGTCGCAGGAACAGGCTTGAGATCGCTGGATGGATTACGCTTTTATGATGTCCAGACAACCATGTGGTGCCATGGGGATTGCATTGAATTTTTTTATACGCATTCTTGGTTAACAATGTCCCAGTGCAAGGAGCACAAGTTTAAAGAAAAAAAACGAGACAGAAAGAAAAATAGCTAGAGACTGGTGCCCAAATTACAGTACGTGGTAACTTTTTATACGCGTGTGTTTTTTTGTAATTTAAAACGTAAATGATATTAAACCACGTTTTGTCATGGAACTCAAAATTGCAGGAGGTCCCTAATGGAAAGGCTAATTTTAGAAATAAATGCATTCTAAATGCTTACCAGCTGCACTTCTTAGTGAATGTCATGTCACCTACCATAGTCTTGACATTCTATTAATTTCCAGTGTAATGTTGACTGTAAAGATGCTGCATTGCTTGTAGTTTATTGTGGATGACTGCATGATGTCATGACTGCATGACGTCATAAAAAGTCTTGATGAGTTGGAATTGACAGCACTTGCAATTAATTAAATAATTGGTCAATCATTTTACAAATCAGTTCATTATTACGTATTTATTTTATGCAAACCCTCATTGACAGGCGTGGTGAAATGCTTGGCATGCGGAGAGCTTTATCCTGTAGTTGATTGATGAAGGCACGTCAATTATATTATTTAGATAATCAACAATAATTGGTATGATAGATTGCCCGGTGGCACAGTTAAACACAATGGGGCAAGCGTTTCTCTCCAGCAGCATAAATGGGCACACCACAGCGGGTACTCCTACTTTCCCCAAGACGTCTGACTAGCAAGGAAGAGTAGGATAAAATACCCTCTGGAGGGGCTCGGTGGAGCCCCGTCTAGCGGGAAGGGGCCTTCCGCCAGCAGAGGTGCGAGCAGCAATTGTGGCGGGGGGGGGGGGGGGGGGGGCTGTTCCTTTGCCGACCTTAACCAAGAATGCGCCGTTCGGTTGTGTGTGCCGCAGTCGCAAGCCAACTGGACAGGGAGCGCATCCCAATGTACAACCTCACCATCCTGGCATCGGACAACGGGAAGCCCGTGGCCCGTAGTGCCACGGCAAGCCTCGTCGTCTACGTCAACGACGTCAACGACCACGCGCCACGCTTCGCCCTGAGCGCGTACGCGGCCGCGCTTAGCGAGGGAGCGCCCGCCGGGAGCTACGTCAAGGATGTGACGGCAATGGACGCCGACTCCGGCCTCAACGCCAAGCTCCGCTACTCGATCGTCTCGGGCAACGACCTGGGATGGTTCTCGGTGGACGAGAGCACGGGCCTGGTCACCACGGACGGCAAGGTGGACCGAGAGGTGGCGTCCTCCGTCGTGCTCAATATCAGCGCTCAAGACCAAGGAGCCCAGCCCAAGACCGCGTACACCTCCCTAACTGTCACCCTGCTGGATGTCAATGACGAACCGCCATTGTTTACGCAGACAAAATACGTGGCCACGGCGGTTGAGAATTCGTTGCCGGGACTGTTTGTCGTCTCCGTGTCGGCGGCCGACAGTGACTTGGGAGAGAACGGCACCGTGCGGTATAACTTCGACCCGGACATGCCAGCCCAGTACAGGGAGATGTTCCGTCTGGATAGCCTCACAGGCAAGGTGACGACACTCAAGTCGCTCGACCGGGAGGAGCTAGAGGAGTACCCCCTGGTCGTCCAGGCGCAGGACCGCGGCTCGCCACCGCTCGGCTCCACCGCGAAGGTCACCGTTGTGGTCGGCGACCTCAACGACAACCACCCGGTGTTCTACCCGGTGCAGTACTTCGCCAGCATTCTTGAAAACGAGCCGGGCGGCACGGCCGTGACGACGGTGACGGCGACGGACCCTGACCGCGGCGCCAACGGCACGGTGCGCTACCAGCTCACCGCCGGCGACGCGGCGCGCTTCCAGGTGAACGCCGTCACCGGGGCGGTGAGCACCCGGGTAAGCCTGGACCGGGAGGAGCGCGCCGTTTACCAGCTGCAGGTGACGGCGCTCGACGGGGGTCACCTGCGGGCACGGAGCCCGGCCATCGTCACGATAACCGTGGCGGACGCGCAGGACACGCCGCCCACGTTCGCGCGGGACGACTACAGCTTCGTCGTGTTCGAGAATGTGGCGCCGGGAACCCTGGTGGGAAGCGTGTCGGCATCGACGCTCGACCTGAACGCCAACGTCACGTACCTGATCGTGTCGGGGGACCAGCGAGGCTCGTTTTCGATTGAGTGGTCCGGCGGGCGCATCTTCACGGCCAACGCCATAGACCGGGAGGAGCAGGCCTTCTACCAGCTGCGCGTCGTTGCCAACAGCGGAGGGGTGGCCGGCGAGGCCTCCGTCTCCGTCCTGGTGAAGGACCTCAACGACAACCCACCGCGCTTCCAGCAGGCGGTCGAGTACATCAATGTGGTGGAGAACTGGGAGGTGGGCCACTCCGTGTACCGGGCATCGGCATCGGACCCGGACGAGGGCATCAACGGTCAGGTGTCCTACTCCCTGAAGAGGAATCCCCACGACGTTTTCCACATTGACGGCGAGAGCGGGCACGTCACATTGTGCGCCGCAGTCGATGCCTCGGCCGACTCCTACCAAGTGGAAATTCTGGCCCAAGACATGGGGACGCCACGGCAGCACTCGAGCGTCGTCCTCACGGTGCAGGTACACGATGTCAACAACCACGCGCCCGTGTTCGACCGGGCCTCCTACGAGGTCTCCATCGCCGAGGACGAGCCCGTCAATTCGAGGTTCTTTTCGGTGCGCGCGACGGACAAGGACTCCGGGAAAAACGGCGAGGTGAAATACGAAATCGGCGAGGGGAACGGCGGGGAGAAATTCGGGATATTTCCCGATGGGCAGCTCTACGTCAGATACGAGCTCGACCGCGAGACGAGAGAAGAGTATTCCCTCACAGTCTCAGCCATGGACACGGGCGTGGAGCCACTGAGCTCCTCGGTCACCGTGAATGTCACGGTGCTTGACGTGAATGACAACAAGCCCCTTTTTAACAGCAGCAGCTATGTTTTCCATTTCTGCGAAGAGCAGGAGGTTGGCTCCTTGGTAGGAGCTGTGCAAGCCACAGATGCAGATGCCGGCAGCAACGGCGGTGTAACGTACTCCTTCGAGAAGCCGCAGGTGAACTTCGAGCTGGACAGCGAGACTGGCAGAATAGCAAGCCTCCGAGTGTTTGACCGAGAGGCGCTCATAAGGCAAGGCGGTGCTGCCTCCTTCAGCTTCAGCGTGGTGGCCACGGATGGTGGCCGCCCAAAGCCGCTGCAAGACCGCGCCACCGTTCAGGTGTTCGTCCAGGACGTAAACGACAACCCGCCGCAGTTCGCCAAAAGCGTCTATCAGGCCTCGGTGTCAGAGTCGGCGTCCAATCTCACGCAGCTGCTCCGAGTGACGGCTTCCGACGTTGACGAAGGTGTCAACGGGGCTCTGCGCTACGCCATCAACGAGGGCAATGAGGGTGGGAAATTCACGGTTGATGCCTCGACGGGTCAGATCACCCTCCTGGGGTCACTGGACCGGGAAGAGACTGCCTCCTACACCCTGGTGGTGAGCGCCACCGATTCGGGGACATCTCCCCTCGCCGCCAGCTGCACCGTCGCCGTTCAAGTTCTGGACGAGAACGACAACCCCCCACGTTTCACCGAATCGCTCCTGTCGGTGGACGCGTTGGAGAGCACGCGGGTGGGCGAGCTTCTCATCACCTTGACGGCCAGCGACGAGGACACGGGGCCCAGCGGCGACGTGCGGTACGCCATTGTGGCCGGCAACACGCACGCCACGTTCGCCATCGACCGCAGTACGGGCAGCGTGTTTCTGGCACGCCGTCTGGACTTTGAAACGCAGAGGCTCTATCGGCTGAACGTGAGCGCCGAGGACGGCGGGAGACCACCGCGCTCCTCTGCCACGATCCTGGTCGTGCACGTCCGGGACTTCAACGACAACCCTCCCGCCTTCCTCCCGGGGGATGTCTTCGCTTCCATCATGGAAAACATCCCAATTGGTAAATGGGTGCCTCCTGTGTTTTCATTAAATTAATGTATAAATGGCGCAAAAAACTGCATTTGCTTTTTAACTGCAATTAAACAGGCGTTGTATTTTTTTCTTCTTACGCAAATAGGCTGTTAATAGAAAAAAACTTTTTTTTACGTTGAACTTCGAAATTATTTCGCACCGTACGTAGCCATCCGTGCTAATCAGAGGCGAGCTGTTAAGAATTGTTGGGCTGCCTCTTCTCTCAAATAATCTAATTTCCATGTTGCTGACCACAGGCACACGAGTCATCACCGTAACGGCCAGAGACCCGGATGCAGACGTGAACGGCGAACTCCACTACTCTATCGCACGCCAGTTCCCTCCAGGCGCTCATTTCACCATCGACCCGGAGAGTGGCGAAATTTGCACGGCGGCCGAGATCGACCGAGAGGTGACGGGAGGCCTCTTTGAAGTCACGGTCAGGGCCACGGACAAGGCCATTCCCGTCCACACCCGGCGATCCGCGCTCAAGAACGTCACCGTGCTCGTGACGGACGAGAACGACAATGCCCCGCGCTTCGTCACACCAACAGCCATATTGGTGGACGGCTTGAGGGCGGCTGCAGGGTCCGTGGTGGGAACGCTGCAGGCCTCCGACCCGGACGAGGCTGAAAATGCCGCCGTGCGCTACGCGGTGACGGGTGGCGATGCCGCCATGTTCGCGGTAGACCCGGTCAAGGGCGAGCTGAGGCTGACGGCCTCCCTCACCCCGTCGCGCCTCGTGTACTCGCTCGACGTGGCGGCCTCCGATCGCGGCGCCGTTAGCAAGTCGACGGCCGGCAAATTTGTCATCATCGTGGGAGGCGACGACGGCAGCGATGGCGGCGGCGCGAGGAGCTCCAACGACGCGCCGGGTTTCTCGCAGCCAAAGTACCGGGCGGTCGTGCGCGAGGGCGAGCCGGCGGGCACGGAGGTCGTCAAGGTGGAGGTGAAGACGCCTGCCGTCAGGGGAGACAAGCAGAGCGTGGAGTACTTCGTGGTGTCGGCGCGAGCGGACGACGGTAGCCCCGCGGCAAGCTTGTTCCGGCTGGACCGTCGCACGGGCATCATAGAGACGTCGACGGAGCTGGATCGGGAGAGCGGGCACGGCGCCTTCACGCTGGAGGTGGTTGCCGTCGAGGCCAAGGCTGCGTCTCCTAGAACGCAGCGCGCAGAGGTGGGTTCGGTGGGATCGTTGCGTCGTCTGAAAGGTATCTCACAGTGGCTTTCTTAAAGTTTTGTCGGAGAAAAAAATAGACTTACACAAAAAGCAGGGTTTCCACCCTTGAGGTATGATAACCAGAATACATCATGGAAAAAAGAATATCTCACAATAGCGGAGGAGGGGAGAACTGCACGGAAATGCATTGTCTTGAGTTGTGCTTTGCTACGCAATTGACAAAAATGGGGACTTTTAATACCGCGGGTTTCCCAGGATAGCCATCTCAAAACGAGGATATCCTGGGAAAAGCAGGACACGTTGGTCATCCTGGGGCTGGAAAGGTGGTACAGTGTTTAGTGCTCTCTGCTATGAACTCGGTGAGTTAGATTTACAGCTATGGCTAACATCATTGGCTGATAATATTTGAACCAGACCTGACCTCCTCTACCCCCTTCACCAACCTACACTAACCAGCATTTTAAAGTACGGTGTAAACAAGATAAAACACCATCACCGACATCATGTGGGGAGGCCTTTATCCCACAGTAGATGGAGAACGGTTGGAGTTGTACATTAAATTAGTTTATGTTAAATTGTTAATGTGAGTTATTGGTATGCAGAAAGCACTGGAATGTCAAAATTGTGCGAGACTAATTTGACCCTCAGTACCTGCATTCTTACTTGTAAATATTATTATAAATAATACATTCTTACCAGAACACCATCATGTAATGAGCTTGAAGTATGAATACATTTTTATACTGCAGTGTTAATATGAATGCATTTATATTCTTGGTTCTTTCGGTAAAGTCACGTAGAAGGGAAACAATAAAATAATAAAAATATAAAACAATTAAATTCTCACGACGTTTCGACTGCAACACAAGCAATCGTCATCAGGTGTGAAAACCACAGCAAGAAAATTTGAAAAAGGTGTGGTTTTCACACCTGATGATGATTGCTTGTGTTGCGGTCGAAACGTCGTGAGAATTTTATTGTTTTATATTTGTATTATTTTATTGTTTCCCTTCTACGTGACTTTACCGAAAGAACCCAGAATATGAATCCCTGTAGTCACGAAAGCTTTAAATCAAAATGAATGTATTTATAAATTTTATTCTGCCATTTAATGCTTTATCATTTCATTTATCACCAGCTGAGAGAAATATGTTTTATAATACTCTCTTTCTTGTTTTAATTTATCATTATTTGTAACTTATTGAAATAATTTAAATTTTCCTTATTGACCAATGATGTTCATAGTATCTGGTCATCATTTATTTGTGCAGACTTAGTGCTCCTTCCAAGCCATCGGATTTCTTTTCGTTTGACTTGTTTACAATTTAATTATTCTTGATAGTAATTTATGACATCTTTGCAAATCCACTGCTGGATGAAGACCTTCCCACCCCACCGTGTCAGTCATGGCGGTTTATTTGAGCATACTTCCCCATGCTGGTCGGTGAGAGTCGGTGGAGGTGGAGAACTGGGTCAGATGTCATCTGCCGCTGACGATAGTCACGGCCAGGAATCAAACTCAGGGCGCCGGATTCAGTGCTCAAAGTGCTCTAACCACCACACCCACCGGTCTACCCCGAGTTATTTTTTTACAAATATGTATTTGACATTCATTTTGATAAATTAATCTCTAAATGAAAGGGAACTTTCTATATAGATATATTTTTTAATGGGTTAGGAAACCCGCCCTGGCATGCTTGCGAGGCATTAATTTTTCATTCTTTCGCGCATCAAACTTAAAAAAAGCAACTAAAAAAAATGCCGCTACCGTGAGCTCTATTTATTGTTGCAGTAACGTAATGGCTTTAGTTTGCTTTACAAATTTTCATCGAAATTGAAGGGAAAATCACTTCCAATGAAAATACAGAGAAATGTTTTAAGGACTTATTCGCATTAGCAGGTATAGGATTTTGCTTTTGGAATTTCCTTTTTTGTGCTTTGTGTGCTACGCTGAGCACCATTTTAGGCAGGAAAGCGGCTCTCATCCCAAATTGGCCGCAGGTCAAGAAAACTTTTTTCTCCTTTCACATTTAAACAAATTCAGCAGGAAATTCTGGAAACTGCACAGCACTTGCAGAGGCGGCGTGTCCCAGGCAGCGTCACTTGTGAACGCAGTAACCCACATTAAGCAGCGGTCTAAGGGCACAGCTGTGTATTGTGTGAGAGCGACAATAACCGCACACGCACGTGACCTGGCAGAGTTGCACAAGACAAAGATCCCCCGTATAACCTTGACAGACTGTTGGGGGCAAGTGCTGTCAAGCGTGCACTTGTGAAGGACCTCGCAGCACACGAAGGACGCAGGTGGCCAGAATCATGCCCGGGCCACCTTTGTCTCCCCAGTGGGCGACATTTACACATCACACCAGCTACTCATTTGAGGCTGAGTTGACCTAAGGGAGGCCCAGAACCGATTCAGATAATTCACTGGTATTGGTGTCCATGAGCGGGAATTGAACTTGTGTCACTGGGTCCGAAGCGGAGAGTTGCATACACACATACAGAGTTGCATACACACATACAGAGTTGCATACACACATACAGAGTTGCATACACACATACAGAGTTGCATACACACACACACAGAGTCGCACACACACACACACAAAGTTGCGCACACACACAGGCGCTCATGTTTGCCGCATGTCGGCTGGAGGGCTTTCCGACACCTCCGGTAATTACACGGCATTGAGCCCTTGCTGACAAGCTGCTTAATCATCGAAGGTCTGCATTGCTGTAAGAGGTACGGCATCAAGGTGGCCTATTGCATGCACTTACAGTTTAAACTGTGCTTCAGTCATGTATGTTCATGTACAGCCCTCTTGTGAATCCGTTGCCGGATGAATACCTCCCCATGCCGTGTGGGGCATTGGGGTTCATGTGAACGCACTGAAGTGTGCTGTTCAGTGTGGGTTGATAGAGACGGCGAGCTGGGAAAAGTGACCATAGCAGTACAGTTAAACAATGGATTTTGCTCAAATATCTCTGCTGCCCACAGCTCCGCAATCTATATGTGTGCATGTATGTATGTTGGACTTCTTTTGCACCGTACATAGCCAACCATGCTAATCGGAGGCACTTGGGAATGGACAACAAACTTAACACAAAAAACAGTTATTTAAGAAATGAGTTTGCAATGTAGGTTTAAAAGTGCATAGCTTCAGAGGCTTCCTATAACACCCACCATGATGCATATTGGCCACCCATTCAAGTGCTATCCAGGAACACTTTCAATTCGCTTTCAATATGAGATCAGGTGCTTTACGGTTAATTTGTTCATCGGCGTTATACCATGGATGGTCCTGCATTTGAAGATTGCGGGCCAGTCTCTACTTAAGACGTGTTTCGGGTCTGGTAGGAAACCGAAACGCTGGGAAAAACGCACGCGAATATGACGCACAATGGGTCCTCGCGTATGGGCTCACGAGCACAACTTTCAGTGCTGTAATGTCCTGGCCACATCGTGCACGGCCTCAGCAGGTTTGGGGATTTCACGAATATACCCGTGCACGATTCCACACGGTATCGGGATCTTAGTAAACCTCCTTCAGCCATAGGACGACTGGGTTCAGCGCGCTCGCCACTGACGTACCGATTTACGGCATTCGGCGACACGTGAGGCAGTTCTTCACATTAATGGGATGAACGTCGAGCAAACACAATGACGTATTGATTATAATAATCCGTGGCAGTGGATCAAGGCAGAATGCTTAAAGAATATGTACGTTACGTGGCAAGGCAGCGGGCTGCATTTGAAAAGTACAATGAGGCCCTTGGTGAAAGAAATGTTCGCGTTGTTGAAAGCAGTACGTTCACGAAGAGTTTCCGCATCACTGGCTTCGTCAAAGTGACGGAACTTTTATTCATAAAACCGTTGCTGGGCTTGTGCACGCTCTCAACCGTGTGATGTAAATGGGCTCCGAAAAAAGACAAAATTGAATTTTGCTCGAACAGAGGGGCTCTCTCCATTGTGCACAGGAGTTATCTGTCATCATTAATGAGTCCATCCGCCCCGAGATTTCGCCACGTAGCCAGGGAACCATCATTCCACGCTCATCATTTGTTTTTTTGTTGTTGCAAAGGGAGTGTGTAACTTGAGGTTCAATTGAGCTCTGTAATGAGGGAGTACGCATGCACGTTCCTGGACAGCGGTCTTGTCACTGCATTGGTTGCTGTAAATCCACCCCCTCCGAAACGTCGTACTTATGCAATGATCGTCAGCCTGTGAATGGCGATGATGCCGCTCATGCCAGGTGTTTGTAAAAGGTGTCGTATAATGTTAAAAAGCTATAATTAGACAGCCATTTTAGTTATATTCGTTAGACTACACACACGAACATGCATGGATGGATGCTTGGTCATGAGGAGCTTCGTGTGCCCTCATCATATCGAGATTTAATAGAGGCAACAGCACAAACATCTCTGGTGCGATAGTTTTAAATGCTTGTGTTGTGTGCTGTTCAAGAGCACGCAAGCATTTCCGTAAAAAAACCCTTTTAAGTCATTCAGGAATACGTTGCCAACAGTTCAACCATGAACTGCTGTATAATTATAATCCTTTTAAAATGGAATATACCTTTACGAACAACCCTAAATATTCAGTATATTTTCTTTGTTACACAAAACAGTTTAGCAACCATTTTGGCCTCACAAATATTCTAACTCAAAGCATTTTTTTTTATATTTGCTATCAATTGCACGAGTTACGTAACTTTGTAACACAGCATTGTACTTTTTATTTTTTCAAGTGGCATGCCTTCGTTGTGAGCCCATGTGGTGAATTTTTAACCTGCTGTATCATTGGCTCGGATTAGTTTGGGCAGCAATTCGTACATCAGGGGAAAGCAAAGGAATCCTAGGCCACTAAAGCCTCCTTTTCTGGAACACAGCGTTTGGGGGAAGCTCGCTGAGCTTCTCATTCTCTGCATGTTCATATCCTTTGCAAATCCCAGCATGCAACAGCGGGACTTGTCCAATGGGCCAACGTTTCCAGCACC